TTAACCTGAATTATTCCCTTACCTTTAAACTATATCTCTTATATCGAGTATATTAAAGCAAAAATCTCTGAATTCCTCAAATGTTAGAATGATTCTACACATATAAATCGCTAAATTCAAAATCTATACTGAGTAAACAACAGTTCAATATTTTTAATTACAGACGTATTTTTCTCTCTTCCATGATACGCTAATTACGGCAGGGACTTACAAATGTGTCCCACAGACACATTTGATGGACTAAACCATGACACAGTATGTTTCTTTCTCAACATACAAGAAAAATAAACAAATAAATAAATAGACACCTGAGGAGCAGATAAAAGGATGGAAAAGATGATCCTACAATTTAAAACCAGCAGCGTAAACATACTTAGATAAGAACAAGATAAAAAAAATCAGTTAAAAAAAAAAAGAATTAGGAGATAAAACATAATACATGATACAGAACATAGATTAATATCCACATAATAGGCACACTAGACAGCCAGACAAATAGATTAAAGAGCTAAATATGAAAGGTAAACTATAATAGTATTACTTAAGCAACACTCAGGAAGTACAAATTAGAAGGGCAAAAAAATTAATTATCATGACTACATCAGAATTAAGGATTTCGCTTCTGTTAAGGACATCCAGGATAAAGTTATTACAAATGACACATTATGAAAAGGTATTTACAAGGTATAAAACCAACAAGGACTAATATCTAAAATACGTAAGAAACTTCGAAAAAGCATTAAAAGATGGAAATACCAATGGTAAGACTTACAAAGAATATAAATAAAATCTACAGAAAAAATCTAAAAGACTAACAAACTTATAAAGAAATGTTCAAACTCAAGCTGTCAGAGAAATAACAAAGTAAAAGATATCACTTCACACCTGCTGCAATGACAAAAAGTACAGAACAGAATGATATCAAGTTTCACTGGGGCAGTGAGGATACAGAGGCCCTCTCACCTTGCTAGTGGGGAACGCACAGACTGGTGCAGTCATGGGGGGAGGGGAAGAGGAAGGGGATCAAATTTTGTATTTGTACATCCTCTAATCTAGTGATTCTGCTCCTAGCTACATATACTCAAGAAATCGTCATTCATATAAAAGTTCAACCAGCTTTGTTGGGGCAGTGGAAAGTTGCAGGCAATCTGCATATCCATTTACTGGGGGAATGGATTATAAAAATGTATTGGATGCACCCCATGGTGGGTAGCCATCAGAAGTAATGGACAATATATATAGGCAGCAAAAGGATAAATCTTAAAAACATAGTGTCAAAGAAAATAAGAAACAAAATAACTAACACCATACCATTTATGCTAACATAAAATATCTGCGTACAAACAACGTACGTTTTACGTTTTACAAGAACCTGTACAAACTAAAGAACATATATTAAATACATTAGAAGGGTTGCCTCTAGGAGGGAAAGAGAAATGAGAATGAGAAATTTAAAAAAGGAAATAAATAAAGCAAGAAGCTAAGCCTTGTGCAGACTAAGTAGGATAATAGGTCATGAACTAAAGAATATGATTAACTCAATTCTCTGTACTTGAGATCTCACAAAAGTGAATCAGGAATATGAATTAAGCTATGTACTGCATGGCTGCTAGTATCTCTGAGATTTTCTCAAAGTGGCTAAAATCTCTTCTAAGACCACAATTTGTACAATGTGACTCTTAGATAATTCCATATGTTGCGTGGCTGTAGAAGCTAAAAACAAGATGAAGTCACTCATGCCCTGCCAGAAGAGCATAGCTCTACCTGGTTTCACAGAGCTAAAGTAACGTTTTAGAAATAGTCATTAGTTTGTATCTGTAAATTTACATATACTCAACAGTTCCTATTCTTTAAACTCCGGCATTCCAGACAAGCAGACGTCTGGTTATCTGAGAGTCTACTTGACAGGCACTGACCACTCAAACCTGCATCATTTGTCTGCTTAGCTAAACACAATTCTGACAAAGAAAGGATTTCAAGAGACATTTCAGTAAATATCCAAAAGACCCATCGAAACCATTTGGAGTTCCCTGGCTTACTTTGTTCCTCGGACTATAAATATCCTCTACTGCCTCATTTCAGGTACAATACCCAGTCTCATGCTATGTGTTGACCAATTCGTGAACTGTATGATCGACTAATAAATCTCCAGCACTGTGCTCCCTTGGGCAGCACATACACTAAAATTGGAACGCTACAAAGGAGATTAGCATGGCCCTTGCGCAAGGATGACATGCAAATTCGTGAAGCGTTCCATATTTCCCAGAGTGTTGACACATCGCAGGGATTGCAACCAATGTCACAAAATAATTTGTGTATAAATTGTTGAATGAGAAACTAATTTGTTCTGTGAAGTTTCACCTAAAGCACAATTTAAAAAACAAAAAAAAATCTCCAGCATTGTTTTAACTTTGTTTCGACTCTCAGAGATTATTTAACAGTTGTTGGTCAAGTTTAACCCTCAAACCTGAAAATTCATCCAATAATTTAGAGTGATGTAAATTGAGTTGGGGGTGCATATAAATTAGGATAAGTATACATTTTCAAGAAAACTCATCATAATATTGACAGGAATACTCAACTCCTTACAAAAAAAAAAAAGGAAACCAATTTTATCCTGAAATACCCTGGATGATAAATGTTGTAGTAGAGGTTTAAAAAAAAAACAACATCGTCTTGAGACTCGCATGGAAGTCCTAGGAGACTTCTCTGTAATGACAGAAGGAAAATACAAGGGGTTAGGGATTGGGACATACTTCTAACAACAGTATAATCAATACTGCTTACAAAGGCTATAAAATAGAAACTAAACTCAGGTGTGTACAATAGATGTTCCTTAGCCTCCATCTTTCTAAATCTCTTAAGGCTTACTGCTTATTCATTTTATCGTCTAATCATAAACTATCTTACCCGCTGATTATGTCTTATATACCAAAAAAAAAAAAAAAAAATAGTAGCTAGAAGTCAAGGAACTGTTTTTGTATTCTTCTAAGAGATGTTATAAAGAGAGAATTCACTAATGAATGGGGGCAATAAAAAATGATGGAGCTATCCAAATGTTTCTGATCAATAACCTGAGAAGCTACCACACTCATTAAGGTCAATAGTACACCTGCCAAATATGTCCTAAACCTTCTTCTGACTGGTGTGCCCTTACTCATTTCGATAACCATCCCGAACCCTTCCCCTCCCATTCCTACCTAGTCTGCATATCAAACTCCTATTCTTCCTCCAAACTCCAGCTAAAATGTCATTCAGGAAGCCTGTCCTGTCCATTCCCTTCTGCCAGAGAATTAATGCTTCTTTCCTTTGTTCTAAGTTTGTACCATATACCATATATCATAATTTGTTTACATGTCTGCCTTCCCTACTAGATTGTGAGTCAATTTCTTAGATGCACTGTGCCTACTTTTTGGATCCCTAGTGCCTTAAAAAGTGCCAAGCCCAAAGCAGGTGCTCAAAAACATGTACTCAATACGTGAATATCTGAAGCGACAAGTCAGTCACCAGATGTCAAATAAATCTATGAAGCATATCTGCAAAAATTCATCGATTGCTATAGTCAAGTCCCAATTTTTCTTTATCCTGGGGCTTACACAATATAGACAAGTTACCAAAGATTTTTATCTTTAAAGATAAGCAACTGACAGAATTAATTACAGAAATGGAATTAACAGTGTAAACTAATAGAGAATGCCAAATACATGGGAGAGTTACCCATTGACGGAGTCATTAATGTAACTGAGTTTCTAAAAATCTCCTTCCCTAAAACACTCAATACCATAACAGATACTCAACTGATAGGAAGATTTAAGTCTAGTCCTGCCTAAAAGGCAGGTATATAACCTTTCAAGATCCTTTTTCAACCCTACAATCCCCTCAATTAAGATGCAAAGGAACTAGCTTCATTCCAGAGATACTAAGTGCCATCTGATATAAAGTCAACTTATTGGCCTGGCTAGTCAAGCCTCTCTGTGACAGCCTGGGCAGAAAACAAATTCCAACTTTAATCATGGCTGTGGTAGGCAAAAGGAGTCCCTGGGTGGTGCAAACGGTTAAGTGCTTGGCTGCTAACTGAAAGGTCAGTGGTTTGAGTCCACCCAGAGGCACCCTGAAGAAAGGCCTGGTGATCTACTTTCAAAAAACAGCCATTGAAAACTTTATGGAGCACAGCTCTACTCTGACACACATGGGGTCACCATGAGTCAGAATGTATCCCATGACAATTGGTTTGGTTTTTGGTTGATGGTAAGCAGCGTAATAGCCACCAATGATGTGCACATTCTAATCCCCAGAATTTGTGAATATGTCACATGGCAAAAAGGACACTGTAGGTGTGATTAAGTTAAGGATTTGAGATGGGAGAATTATTCTGGATTATCCGGGTCACCCCAAGGTAATCACAAAGGTCCTTATAAGAGGGAGGCAAGAGGGTCAGATATGATGACAGAAACAGAGGTCACAGGGTAGCAGGTGGGTAAGAGGAGAAGGAGAGAAAGATAGATTGATCTGAAGATGCTATACACTGCTGGCTTTGAAAATGGAGGAAGGGGCAATAAGTCAAGAAATGCAGGCAGTCACCAAAAGCTGGAAAAGGAAAGGAAAAGGATACCCCTCCCAGAGCCTCCAGAAGGAACTCAGACTTGCTGACACCTTAATTTCAGCCCAGTAAGACCTATTTTCAAACTTCTGACCTCCAGAACTATAAGATAATAAATTCATGTGGTTTTAAGCCACTGTGTCTGTGGCGGAGCCCTGGTGGCACAGTGGTTAAGAGCTCAGCTGCCAACAAAAAGGTCGGCACTTCAAATCCACCAGCTGCTCCTTGGAAACCCTATGGGGCAGTTCTACTCTGTTCTCTAGGGTTGCTGTGAGTTGGAATCGACTGGACAGCAACTGGTATGTCTATGGTAATCTGTTACAGCAACAATAGGAAACTAATACAATATAACCCTTAAAGGTGTCTCCTTAGCCAGTAACACATACTAACCAAAACTTACCTTCTAAGAAAGAATGATCTCGAACAGCTTCGGCAGCTAATACAGACTTCCCACAGCCTGCCATTCCATATATGGTGACCCATCCTGGTTCACCATTCAGTTTGAGGAGCTTCTGCTGAATTGCATTAACCAGCTTCTTTCTAGTAACAAAAACAACTGGCCTCTGTGGTACTCCACCTTCACATAGGACTGTCCTTACTGAAATTCAAAATAAACAAGCATAAATAAGTAGAACTGGCTTGAAATGGTTACTCAAGTAATACCATAAAAACCAAAGAGAGCGTCAGAATTTCCAAAAGAAGTAAGAAAAGCGGCTAACATATTAACTTCAACTTTCTGATTTCTTAAAACAACACCCAGAGCAAAAGCAAACATATACGCTTCAAGGTGACTATGGGCAACGCAAGTCTCTATCTGTATCTGCCCTTACTCATCCTATTCCTCCCTGACTCTCCAGTCTTTTTCTCATATTGAAAACTGAGAAGGAGAGTATAAAGAGCAGAATATTTATGGAATTCCTTCCAAGAACACAGATTTCTAAAGATTCTTATTCTTTCCTATACATAATCTCTATAAACACACAAAACTTAATTAAGGGCCTATAAATTATCTTATTATCTCTAAAAATTAATATATGAATATTACTAACTCAGCAGTAAATAGCTCACTGGTCAAAAAGAAAACGTGAAGGTTAACATGGATACAAATAAAAAATATTTAAACTAGAAAACAACATTACAATTTTTTCACATGTATTTTTCAGTAAACTGATCACAGTGTCTTGGGCAGCCTCCATCTACAATAAGACAAAACTGCAGCAATGTAGTCAATGTGATAGAAGGTATTATGGATACAAACCATATGAAGTTATTCCACCAACCGAATCTTTACTATTGGAAGAAGAGACAACAGGAACACCATCATGGAGAAGGACAGCCAAATCTTTATACCCTTCATGTAGTAGAGCGTTGTAGAATGATATGTAGCAATAATTATCTTTTTTAAGTATCATTTTAATTAGCATAGCTGCTCGTTGTTGTTGAGTGGGCTAAAAAAAAAAATTAAGTAGTTTAGTATACAACAATTAATACTTTTGCAACAAAAATAAGTGGATACCAGTGTAAGTTCTGAAATAAATTCTAAAACATTTCAAGGAATCACAGACTATCTCAAGGGTCTTTACCTCAATTTTTACTTTTTCCTCCTCCAATACTGTTAAAACTCCATCACTAATCATGTGATCCATGATATAAGATGTCTTGATGTCCCTTTCCAGGGCTTCTCTGTGTTGAAGCAAACAATTTCGAGCTTTTGCATCCATCCTTCCTCAAATTTTTCTCTCTTCTAAGCTGTCAACCTTGAGCTGCAGGCAAAACACCAAAATAGATGTCACGCCAATAAAGATATGAAAATATGTGCAATCTCACTGGTAATCAACAAATGTAAATAAAACAAGATCTTTTTCTGTAAAGATTTTTATAAATGAACAAAACTCAGTGTTTCAAAGGTGTGAGAAAATGGGCATTCTTATGGGTATTCTTAGAGTATGAAATTAATGCAGCTCTTCTAGACGGCAAGATGGTAAGATACAGAAATGTTTAAAATAAGCATTTTCTTAATCCTTCTAGGAATTTACCTCAAGTACCAAAAAACCAAACCCATTACTGTCAAGTCGATTCCAGCTTACAGTGACCCTACAGACAGTAGAACTGCCCCATAAGGTTTCCAAGGCTATAATATTTACAACAGACTGCCACATTTCTCTCTAGCACAGCAGCTGGTGAGTTTGAACCGCTGACCTTCCAGTTAGCAGTCAAGCACTTAACCACTGTGCTACCAGGGCTCCTTCTTTTTTTTTTTTTTTTTTTTAATTGTTGTAGTTTAAAAGACGTTTATATTTCAAGTGAGTCTCCCATACAAAAATTTATATGTACATTGTTATGTGACCCTAATTGCTCTCCGCATACTAGGACAACACACTCCTCCTTTCCACTCCTGATTCCCCATGTCCATTCAACGAACTCCTAATCCTCTCTGCCTTCCCATCTCACCTCCGGACAGAAGCTGCCCGTTTAGTCTCTTGTATCTACTTGAGCTAAGAGGCACACTCCTCATGAGTATCACTTTATGTCCCATAGTCTAGTCCAATCCCTGTCTGAAGAGTTGGCCTCGGAAATTATTTTAGTTCTGGTCTGATAGAGAATCCAGGGGCCATGCTTTCCGGGGTACTTCCAGTCTCATTCAGACCATTCAGTCTGGTCTTCTTACTAGAATTTGAGTTCTGCCCCCCACCTTTCTCCTGCTCCATCAGGGACTCTGTGTTGTGCTCCCTGTCAGGGTGGTCACTGGTGGTAGCCGGGCACCATCTAGTTCTTCTGGTCTCAGGCTGATGAAGTCTCTGGTTTACGTGGCCCTTTTTGTCTCTTGGGCTAATACTTTCCTTGTGTGTTTGGTGTTCTTCATTCTCCTTTACTCCAGGTGGTTGGGACCAACTGATGCATCTTAGATGGCCACTTGCAAGCTTTTAAGATCCCAGATGCAGGGCCCTTTCTTTACCTCAAGTAGAAGTATGTGCAAAAATACCCTTTATTTAACAGAAAATGTTTAGGTGAGAAAAAAGATGAAAGCAATCGAAATGTCCATCATTCTAAATATGGCTGATAAAATCAGGGTACAAGTATCAAATGGAATATTATACAGCTATTTAGAATAACACGAATGTCTATATACTGAAACAGAAAAATGTTCATAACACATTGCTGAGTGAAAACACAGAAATACGTTCCCATGTATAACACAAAACATGTTTGTATCACATAAATATAGAGGGAGGTGTTCAGAAGTTTGTTCATCAAAATGTTTGGGTTATTCTGAGTGAAATAAGTTGATCACAAAAGGACAAATATTATATGACCTCACTTATACTAAAAAACAGGAAAAGACAAATTATAGAGACCAAAGTAGATACCAAGGGAAGGAGGGAGGGAGAAAGGGGGGCAGTTATTGCTTATGGAGGAGCCCTGGCGGTGCAATGTTTAAGTGCTAACCGAAAGGTCGGCAGTTTGAACCCGCCAGCCACTTTGAGGGACAAAGATGTGGCAGTCTGCTTCTGTAAAGATTCACCAAAAACGAAACCCAATGCTATTGAGTCAATCTGACAGCCCTGAAAACCCAATAGGGCAGTTCTACTCTGTCCTATAGGTCATTATGAGTCGGGATCAACTCAACAGCAACAGGTTTGGTTTTGGTTTATACGGGATCAAATTGGTAACAGCAACTCTAAAGTTTAGACAGGAAATTTAGGGGGCAGTGAGTTTATGTTAGGGGGGAGGAACAACTCAGAAAAGGAGGGTGAGATGGTTGCACAACTCAAAGAATATAATCAATGTCACTGAATCGTACACGTAGAAACTGTTGAATTGGTGTCTGTTTTGCTCTGTATATTCTCAACATCAACAACAAAATAAATAAAATATTTTTTAAAATGGGTTATTTCCAAGTAGCAGGATTTGAGATTTATTTTTTCCTTTCTTTCTTTGCACTTTTCTGTATTTTCTTAATTTTTTTCAACATACATTATCATTTTAACAACAAAAGCACTTCTTTTAGATTGAAATTTAATAAAATAGTGATCATATTAAGTCCTAATGTTTAGAAACGTCTCATTTTCTTTATCCAACATAAGACTGAATAGAGTTTTGTTGGTATTGAGTATTAGTTCACACTCTAGGTGTGTGTCAGCTCTAGGTCTTCACTAGTAAACACATTTCTCGCTTGCTCACTCCACTAAAGTTTCAGCTAAGCTGTTAAGTATGACAAAGTAACAGCAAAAAACCTCTGATGTCATTTCTTAGATTAAGAGGACACAAAGAAAGAATATTCCCTACAATAAAATACTCTGTCTACCAACTTTACTTCAAATATAATGCAAATTTTTCCATGGGTATAAAACCCAGATCAGAATGTTTTCAAGTTTTTAAAACATAAACAGAACTCCATCCAATGTATTACAGTGAAATTGTCTGCATTTGTTAAATAAATTTATTCATTCAATAAACATTTGAGCCCCTACTATTTGCCAGGCACTGAGAATACAGAGAAGATTAAATCATATTCCTGAAGAAATTCACAATCTAGTCGAAGAAAAATAAAAACAGAGATAAGCAAAAGTTATTTAATGTTCAGAAAAGGGACAATAATCATCAAACTTCAACAACGACCGTATTTTTTAAGTCATCAAATGTGGCAGTTGCAAAAATAGGGAAATGGAAGTATTTGCCTATGCTTGTCAAGTTTCAAAAATGCGCAATACTGCCACGATATTAACTGATAAAAGAAAAAGTTATGGTTAGAATCAAGGCTATCATATTTTTGAAATATTAATAATGTTTTTATTCGCTTAATTTATACATAAATGTACCTCGATATATAGTAATGAATCGACTTGACAAAAGTGAATGTTTAGGTTATGTCCAACAGTTAAGCAAATAGACACTCTCTGGCAATCTAAAACTAATCTCCAATTTTACCTATCCTTATTAACCTTAAATACGTAAATCGTAAAATACGTTTTTAAACTCTTCACAAATTGAAATATTTTGAACAAATTCTCAAAGTGTCCTACCTTTTGTAACACACCAAAATGGAAAGCCAAAACTCTTCACAGAAGTAAAACAGAAAGGAAAACCTTAACAGTTCACTACTTCCTCATTAGATAATTTCTCTTCCTAATACAGGAGCAGAATGGTTACCATATTATATATATTCCATGTTCCCGAATCCTCAGTCTCTGAAATCTGCTACTGATCCTCCAGGAATCTGGCTCAGGGCGAAAAGCCGGGAGGCAAACTAACCCAGACCTTTGCGCTGAGGTGTTAACGGGACGAGCAAACCTGCGGGGGGAGGCGGCGGTTAAAGGCAACCGGACCTCCGGCGAGGAACTTCTCAACGACGCTAACACCTCGGGCCAGGCCTCACAGGTGCCTCAACTGGGCCTCCGCAGCCCGGGGCGCCTGAAGACCCTGGAGTACTCGAGATGCCGGGAAGTGGGCGTCATCCTCGCGGCCGCACCGCACAGTCGCTGGGCTCCGAAGTGAGGCCCGGCCCGCGGGCCGCCCTCCCGAGGACCCCGCCCCAGGACTCAAAGGGAAGAAAGCTACTCCGGCTGTCACTTCCTCGCTCAGGCCGTAGCTGCACCCAGACGGGAGCCGGTGAGACTTCGGAGGCCGCTGCGACCCCTTCGCGTCCTTGTTGGTCCCTGATGGCCCAAGCGCCTCACCTCCAGCTCCCTCAACCTTTCTACCCAGATATAAAGCATCCCATCCACTCGTTATCTCCTCCGGTCCGCTTCAGAACCGCTGAGTATTCAAAACCAGCCCGCCGGCCCAGAATGGACAGGGCGCGCCCGCGCACGCAAATAAACACACCCCTAGCCCCTTGGGGAAGCCGCCGCCGCGCGCGCTCCCATAGAGATGAGCCCCTCCCTCTGCGTCGGGGGCGGGGCTAAACCACAGGGGCGCGCCGAGCTTCCACGAAGGGAAAACCGCGGCGACCGCGGCGCGCTCTAAGTGGCGCGCGCGACCCAACGCCTCCCCCACGGGTCTCGGCGGCTTACACACGCCCAGGAGCTTCAACTTCCTCACGTTTGCGGCAATTACGCAACGGAAGGGGGTGATGGGGTCGCTGGACGACTCACCTGGAGGAGCTAGGTGGTCGGCTGCTGGGAGTCGCTGTGAAGCGGCAAAGATGATCCAGCGAGCTAGAGGGGCTGGTTTGTGGGCGGCTCCCAGTCTGTAAGGGGGCGTGGTCTCTGCCACAGCTTCGGAAGGAGGCAAAGGCGGCCACGTCCCGTTCTCCCAAGGTGAAGAAGCCGCCCCTCCTCGGGTTTGTAGCCCTCAGGGCCTCCAAACATGTCCGAGGTGAAGAGCCGGAAGAAGTCAGCGCCCAAGGCAGCGCCCGCGGAGCCCGGGAAGCGGAGCGAGGGCGGGAAAATCCCCGAGGCCCGTGCTGCTGGAGGCAAGGGCTGGGCGGATCCCCGGACGGGCTTGAGCCTGCTGTCGCTGGGGACGTGCTTGGGCCTGGCCTGGTAAGTGGACGCGAGACACGGGAGAGTCGTCCGCGCAGCTGTCCGGGTCCTGTGTCCTGGCCCCTGTGGTTGCCCCGCTTTTCGGGATCACGTCCCTGCCCCTGCCCCACCCGTCTCTGCGTCCCGCTAACCTTCACCCTCCAAATTGTTCCTGTGCCTCGATCCCAAAGAAGGGGCAGCCTGACGCTTTTGTTTTTCTTTTCCTCCTTTCTTGTAATTTATTTTTCCTTTATACTGGTAGGATGTTCTCTGCCGCTCAATTGGAGTTGAGGTTAAGCTTTAGGAACGTGTCGGCCATTTCTTAAGAGATGGCAGATTCTTCCAAACTTTATAAAACGTCTACACGTCAGAAGTTTTCGCGTTTTTATAAACCGTTAAGTCCTATCCCCTTGCAGTTTGTCCAGGACAAGCCCCCCTTTTCCTTCCTCCTCCCCACCATAAATGCCTAATGGAAACGTTTGCAACTTTAAAAAGAGTTTATTGTGGTTTCAAAGCAACAAACGTTGAAGATAGTATCAAAGTTTGGAGGAGTTCCCAGTTTTTGATGACTGTGTATATATTAGGAATTTAAAGTCATTTCCTAAATTACAGACTGAACTTTTTAATCCTGTAAAGCTACAAAAGTAGTTGTGTTCACTTAAAACTAAACGTATAGTTTTTAAACCAAATAAATAGCGATGTATTGGTACCATAGGAAAAATGAATATAGAAATAACCTTAAAACCAACTTCCTAATTTTATTTTCTCCAGTCTTTTTCTTTAGGGGGGAAAAAAAACTTTCATTTTAATAACAATACTAACACTTTAAATTAGAAAATCCCTGCGGTTTTCACCAAATGTTAAAGTATTTAGAAGATAATTTTTTAACAATCTTGGTGTCCCGGGGTGGCGCAAACCATTAAGAGCTTAGCTACTAACCAAAAGGGTAGTGCTTCTGACCCACGCAGAGGCACTGGGAAGAAAGACTTGGCGATCTGCTTCCGGAAAAGTCACAGCCATGGAAAAAACTCTATGGAGAACAGTTATACTCTGCAACACATGAGGTCACCATGAGTCAGAATCAACATGATATCACCTGGTTTTGGTTGTTTTTGTTTGTTTTTTAATTAGAAGTCTTACAGAGAAGTAGAGAAGGGACCCCGGACATCCTCTAGTCTAGAACAATTGTGATGCTAGTATATTTCTAATTGTACTTTACTGATGACTTATCCTAAGTTGTGTATTTTTCACAGTTAGTAAAAGATCTATTACGATAAAATGAAATGTTGATTATTGAATGTTGTTTTCCCAAAAAGATAGAATTGTTCATTTTACTAACATGGTATTTTGTTTAGGTGATATTTTTTATCTGAAAAGAATAAATGTACTGAATTTACTGTTTTAGATAAACTGCTCTTATGCCTTAAAATGCATGCCCTTCTTAGATAATTTAAAAAAAAAAAAAAACCTTGTTGTATTGGGAAAGTTACTTAGTAATAGAATTTAGCAGAATGAAAGATATGTTGCTTCACTTGAAAACCTAATAAAACTGGTTTTAGTTACTAAATTTATTAATTTAATTCTCATTAATTAGCCGAAGCTGCATATTCATACGAGATAAATTACATTAGAAAATGTTCAATTTTTCAGTATTTAGTTACTGTCCTAGGAAAAAAGCTCCAATCGGAAACTAAATTTTAAGGGGAAAAGTTGTTGGAAGACAGATGCTTCAGCTCAGGAATTTACTATTAGTGCCTGCAATAAAAACAAACATGTTCCATTCATTAGGAAGATTTCATTTGAACTATGTCATTGCAAAATAATAAAATAATGATGAATCAAATTATCTCTGTGACAGAGTCTATGATTGTTTATGAAAATAATCGGCTTTGTTAAGTGTTCTTGTAAAATCTTTACCACAAGAGTTGAAGTGTATATACTTTAGTCGTTTTTTATGGCAAATGATTTATCCATGATTAATTTTGCAATAACATTTTATCCTGGTAAAACATTTGCAAGCATTTTCCAAATAAAAGACATTTTGGCATCTCTTAGAGTACTTAAAAGCACTCTAGAATTATAACAAAGTCATTAGAATCTTTACCACCAGTACACATACTTCTGCGTCTAAAAGTTGGTCCATCGAGTCTTTATTGAATGCTTACTGCACTGACATTGTTCTAGTTATGATACAACAGTGAATAATATGTATGCCCTTGTACCCTTAAAGGCAGCTTATCCATCCTTTGTCCAATTAAGTTGGAAGGAAAAATCTGAACCTGTCCACGGCCCAAGGAGGATTTCAAGGCATCACACTATATAATTGTCTTTAGACCTTGTCTTAGTTACCTAGTGCCGCTGTAACACAAATACCACAAGTGGGTAGATTCAAAGAACAGAAGTTTATTTTGTCATAATTTAGTAGGCTAGAAGTGCGAATTCAGGGCGTGGCTTTAGTAGGAGGTCCTTCCTTGTGTATTTCAGCTTGCCAGCACAATCCATGTAGATGCCATCTGTCTCCAAGACCTGCCTTCCTCTAACCCCATGTGTGTCTCTGTGTAGTCTGCTCTTCTTATAACTCAGAAGTGATTTAGGTTTAGGACCCACCCTACGCTGGTGTAGCTTCATTAACTTTACAATACAAAACTGTTTCCAAATAGGATATCAAGTACAGAGGTTAGGATTTCAATACATATTTTGGGAGGGACACGATTTAATCCATAACAGACCCTTAGTCTTTGGATCCTTGTTTGGAAAGTAAACAGATAATGCATAACAAACTTAAAAGTGTGATACTTTAACATTTTCTCTCTGCTAAATACAGTTCTAATGTATTACCTATGAGGAGCCCTGGTTGTTCAGTAGTTAAACTCTTGGCTGCTAACCAAAAGGTCAGCAGTTCAAATCCACCAGCTGCTCTGTGGGAGAAAGATAGCTGTGGCAGTCTGCTCTTGTAAAGATTACAGCCTTGGAAACTCTGTGGGGGCAATTCTACTCTGTCCTATAGGTTGCTACGAGTCAGAATCCACTCGCTGGCAGTGGATTTGGGTTTTATATTATCCTGTGTCAGCTTAATAATAAATTGTTAGAGATAACAGTTGCCCAAAACTATATTACTTGAGTATCAGTTTGCATGTTATTTATAAACTCTATAAGGAAAGTATTGAGATAAGAAGACTGAAGAAATTCTGCTCTCAAAATGTTAAATAGTTGTGAAGTTACTAAGGAAGATGAAAATAAAACCTTTTACGTATAAGGTTATTTAATTACATAGAAATTTAGTCAACTGTAAGTTTTATTGTGAAGTTTCTACTGTAAATTTCAACAGATTTTAAAATAGACTTTATAAAAGTTTTTCATAGCATTTGTGATAATCATATACAAGAAGTCAAAAGCTCTTTAAACAAGCAGATAAATTGGGATTTTTTTTCTGTATCATCCAGTATAACTTTCTCTACAAATCACTTATACCGCAAAATTTTGGCTAAACCAATTTCTTGGCACTTTTTTATTTCTTTTCGGTTGTTGTTGTCAGGTGTCATCAAGTCGGTTATGACACATTTCGACCCTGTGTACAAGAGAACGAAACACTGCTGGGTCCTGTGCCATTCTCATAATCCTCGTTATGCTTGAGCCCATTGTTGCAGCTACTGTGTCATTCTATCTCGTTGAGGGTCTTCCTCTTTTTTGCTGACCCTCTGCTTTACCAAGCATGACGTCCTTCTCCAGAGGCTGATCCCTCTTGATAACATGTCCAAACTATGTGAGATGTAGTCTCATCATCCTTGCTTCTAAGGAGCATTCTGGTTGTACTTCTTCCAAGACAGATTTGTTCATTCTTTTGGCAGTCCATGGTATATTCAGTATTCTTCGCCAACACCACAATTCAGAAGTGTCAATTCTTCAGTCTTCTTTATTCATCGTCCAGCTTTCACATGCATATGAGGCAGTTGAGAACAACATGGCTTGAGTCAAGTGCACCTTAGTCTTCAAGGTGACATCTTTGCTTTTCAACACTTTCAAGAGGTCTTTTGCAGCAGATTTGCCCAATGCAATGCGCCTTATGATTTCTTCAGTGCCGCTTCCATGGGTGTTGATTGTGGATCCAAGTAAAATGAAATCCTTGACAATTTCAGTCTTTTCTCCATTTATCATGATATGGCTTCTTGGTCTAGTTGTGAGGATTTTTGTTTTCTTTATTTTGAGGTGTAATCCATACTGAAGGTTGTATGGCCTTTGATCTTCATCAGTAAGTGCTTCAGGTCCTCCTTTCAGCAAACAAGGTTGTGTCGTTTGCATAACGCAGGTTGTTAATGCATTTCCTCCAATCTTTTTTTTTTCTTTTAATTTTTTTTTATTGTACTTTAGGTGTAGGTTTACAGAACCAATAGTTTCTCATTAAACAGTCAGTACACATATTATCTTATGACATTGGTTAACAACCCCACGACATGTCAACACTCTCCCTTCTCGACCGTGGAGGAAGTTTTTTTTGGTGAAAATATGCATAGCCAAAGTTACACCATTTTAAAAATTTCTACATGTACAATTCAGTGACATCGATTACATTCTTCCTGTTGTGCTGCTATTCTCACTGTCCTTTTCCAAATTATTCCATCTCTGTTATCTTCAACTCACTGCCCCCTAGGCTTCCCATCAAACCTTCTGAGTTGCTGTTGTCAGTTTGATCTCACATAGATAATTCTTCCTTTTTTTTTTTGTACCTTAGATGAAGGTCTGCAGAACAAATAGTTTCTCATTAAACAGTTGGTACACATATTGCCCTATGTCAAGGGTTAACAACCCCACGACATGTCAACACTGTCCCTTCTCAACCTTGGGTTCCCTATCACCAGCTTTCGAGTCCCCTCCTGCCTTCCAGTCCTTGTCTCTGGACTGCTGTGCCTCACTAGTCTCATTTTGTTTTATGAGGC